TCCCCCTTGTCCTCCTCCATATCCTCCTCCTTGTCCTCCATAACCACTTCCTTGTTTTCCTCCTTGTCCACCATATCCACCACTATTAGGAGCAAAATTGGAACTTTGATGTCCACTATCTCCATGACCACTGTATGAATTTCTATTATCATTGATATAAGTAGCATTAGAATTTTGAAAATTGCCTCTTCCACGACCACCGCCTCTATTACCTCCGCGACCTCCACTAGAATAATATTTATAAAATGTATATATCTTCATTTTTTTAAATTAAATCATCTAAAATTTAAAATTATATTTCTTAATTTTTACCAACCTAGTTGAAGGTCCTGGTACTCTATCTTTTTGCCAAGGTGGCATTTCAGGTGGTGGTGGTTCTTGTTCATATGGTCTTCCACCTCTGTCTGGTACTTCTCCTATAATAACTTTATTAATTTCACTTTGAGTATTTTTTCTAACACTTGCATTACTTGTTTTTTCCATTAATGCAATATCATCTCTTGCTGCTAATAAATCAGCAATTGTAATGTCTGGTTCTGCATTTAAAAATTTTCTAGTTTCTTCATAACGTCTATTTAATTCAGCCTCTTGAGTTTTAACTCTGTCTGACCACTATTTTAAAAATAAAAATCATATTTTTAGATTTTATAAAAACAATTTTATTTTAAAATTTATCATATGTACTCACTAGGAAAGATTGCACCGTTACATCAAGTCTTTTGAGCAACATATCACGGCGCACTTTATACTCATCATGTAATTCTTGTTGTATATGTTGAAGGTCTTTCCAATCTGCTTCTGAGAATTCATGAGTAATTAATGGTTGTCCTACAAGTTCAGAAGGAGCTATTTTTAATACTTCAGTCAATTTGTTTTCCAGTCTTGTAAAAAGCTTTTCTGAAGTAATATCATTTGGTGGTTTTTCAAAATTTAAAGCTATTAACATATCTTTAAGATCTTTAGCTGTATCACTTTCTTCCTATAAAAAATATATTCAAACTTATTTCAATAAAATTATGATATAGTTTAAATATTTTGATCCTACCTTAATGATGAAAACTTACAACAACAACTGCAGTGGAATTTAAATTTTTATGTTTTTTGAATTCTAATAATCTACAAGTTTTTAATTCTGCTCCCAAAAAATCTAATAAGATATATCTATCTTGTTCAGTTGTCAATCTTGTATTAACATTACCAGTCATTAATCTCTCATTCATACATCCTAATTCCTTAAGAAAACAGCTTAATTCTAATAAGAAAGAACTAGAATCATCTGGTGACATTATTGCATGAATAGTTTCATCCATATCATTGAGTAATGCAATTTCATCTGCTAACCATGCTACAAGTTTTGTAAATTCTGGTGATTTTGGACCTTGTTTTAAAGCTTCTTTAAATTTATTAGGTTCTATTAGCTGACCATTATACCTATATAATAAAAAATTATATTAAATGATAAAGTTAAAAATATGTCAAATATATTGATAAAATAAATATAATATATTGATAATTTTTTTTATTTTATTAAAATTACATAAGACCATATAAAAGAAAATTTCTTTTAAATATTATACATGCTTAAATTTTAACCTAATAGCTACCATGATTTATATTTTGGAAATCATAAAAAGAAGTACGTATAAATTTCATAACATTAAACATAATCCCGAAATTAAAAAATTTTTTTTAGTATTTCTTATAAAAAAAAGTTTATATTCACATACAAAAAAGAACAATATTATATTCAATATTATAACCTTCAATTACTTACCCAAGTTTTTCTATTCTCTCCAATAATTTAAGTTCCATTTTAGCAAAATCTTTAATGAAATAAATTAAATAATTATTATCAAAATATAAAATGTTTTAATAAAATAAAAATAATTTGTACTTACAATAAAAATATCAACAAATTACACACAATACTTTCCTTTGCCGTATACGCTGTCAATGTCACCAAATATTTTAATTTAGGGTATATAAGAAAGAATAAATAGATGTCGTATAAGTAATAGCATACATAATGTTTATTTTGTTTTTGCTTATTTGGTTTGTAATAATTAAAATTATGATAAATTTTCTATTTTTATCAATTCAAATTATTTGCAAAAACCGAAATATTATCTTTGAACTGTTAGAAATGTCAAAAGTATTTTAATTGAAAAATATTTTTTGAAGTAATCATATTTATTGTATAAATATATTTTATAAATAATTTTAAATAATAAAATATATATATTTATACATATTTAATTTTATAAAATAATTAAATATATAAATTATATGTATAATCGAGGGAGAGAGAGAGAGAGAGAGAGAGAGAGAGAGAGAGAGAGAGAGAGTATT